TTCTACTAGTATATAGTAACAAACACTTCTTACTAAAAAAAATTGATAACGAGATCTGCATTGATAAAACTAATTTAAGAGCAAATAGAAAAACATTTTTCCACCTAACTATATTGTTCAAATATAGATTCTAAAAGATCTGATTTCCTACGGCGAAAAGTTATAACCACTATTTTGTTACGAAGATAAATCGTCTATTAGTGTGAATAACCTCAGCAAATGAAAAAGGTAAGCTAATCTAAAAAAAATAATAATGTTTTTGTAGTGAAACGAAGGGACTAGGGCTATAGGTGGAGCAATGCAGCGGTCATTATTTAACTACGGGGGCGGACGCACTGGCCAATTCGCCAATGATTTTGTTTGAGGACTTCGTTTCGGCTAGTGGCTTTCCTAGATCCGCCTGGATCCCCGTTTGGCTACACGTTCAGCACCTGTATCGGCGGAAGCCGCTTTGATATCCGTCTTTCAAGTTTATTGGGGTTCCTGAAACCGCCACACTGGCCCCCTGGCCCTGCAGGTGGACATTTACCCACCTTTTAGGCCGGAGCTTTATGAAAATTCCGCCGCAATTTACTACAGTGAAAACTCAGCCACCTGCCTGGCTTATTGATACTAACATAACAATACACTCGGGCTCGACAAAAATATTGTTTATAGAGTAGAGCTAGCTACAATTTCTGGTTCATCCGCCCGTTTCGCATGTCGACTGATAGAGGATAAGGAGGTATTGAGCCAGAGGCTAGGAAAGCCAACTGGGGAGGGGAATGGGGGTAAGGGGCAGGCAGACAACAAATCCAATAGGGGGATACCTGCTCTTCGGTAGTCACGCACTAGTGGATCGACAAAATTATGATTAATTATTAATGTTCATCTAATTTCTGACCATACAAGCATCCATCCGATGTCAGTACTTATGGCGGACCATGTCATCTAGAGTAACCGGCGCTAGTCATCCGAGGCTTGAGAATTCAATTGTATCCCAACAATTCCTTTTTGCCTAAATGTTCAACTATTCGAAAATGATAGTAAATTATAACATACGTAAGCCGAAGTGACGTCCGAGCCGGAATAATATGTTTGAAAAAAGTGCTGCGCATGTTCTTATAATGTTATAATGGCTCACACAACGAATTTAAGCCCGTTTGAGCTAAAATGATTGCTCATGATTACATCGAAGAGTAATCCTCATTCAACGTAGAAAATAACTAGCATATATATTATATAATTAGCACCTAATTAGAGAATTTTTGTCATGCTTTGGTTTAAAGACTGTACCTAAGTAAAAACAAATATTTTATAATTATATTCATTCAGTATATCTAACACTGATTGCGATTGCAGCTTGAATCAGATCGTGAACTGTTCATAGGCTTGTTTCAAATGTTGACTTTACAATTTTACGAATGCTTCCTTAATAAAAGTAAATAGCGGGTCGACGTTGTCATATTGGGAAAACATTCCTCATCTAGTAATCCAACGAGTTCAAATCTGGCCCGTTTGGCGACCTATATGTGCTCATTCCAGAAGATGCTTGTTTTCAAGCTGCCACTTCTGCGCTAATCGGCTTGCATGACGCAATGCGCCATATTTGTAAAAGAGATATGGTTTGCCTTCATATACTGCCCACAATTGCGCGTAAACAATGTAAATGGACTTCTTTAGTGATGCGTTCGTTCTTCTGAAAGAAATAGGCGGTGAAGTAGGGTGGCATAACGTTTTCTTCAGTGGACACCATACTCAGGATATTATTTCAACAGTTTTCCTCTGTCTGCAATAGGCGTATCCTCTGGGTCCTGGACAGGCCAGTGATCATTTCTGCGGTTCACTTTTGTATCAAGGAAAAAATTCCTTGCCGGAGAAATATTGGAGGCGGTGCTTCGTCCTTGAAGGAATCCAGTATTAAACAACATCGGTTAAATTACGTGGTTTGATTATCCTCAGAGAGCATCTGCCTGACTTTTGTCACGCATGACGTGTACTTATGGCCTTCGAGAATAATCCGTGACGTTGTACGCTGACTCGCATCAAATTTCATTATTAACATGCTGACTGAAGGAAAAAGATCATTCGATACGTACTTGTGGGGTGCAGCGATTAACTCTGAGTTCCGCAGTGCTTTTTCTCTGTCGTCGATATTCCGCTGTGGGGTGTTGAAATTCGCACTGTTTTTTTATGTAGCCGCATAGCTCCTCTGTGACGCGGTATATCGCCGGTGGAGATTTGTCCAGCTTTTAGAAATTCGATATTAGCTGATCTTTTCTGACACGCTCAAGACGACGTACTGTTGTTTGCCACGAAAGAAAGAACTGGCACTTGTTTGGTACCAAGAGCAATCGATGGACGCACGCTCGTTGCCACGAGCAACCCACTGAAGTTTCGCCGCGCTTAGGTGCCATACATGTGTTAGCGTGTTAATGATATATGACGGTAATTATAAATATTTCCGTCGTTATTGCTAAATCGAACATGGTTTAGGGCGAATGAATCACATCTATGCCTTTATTAGTTTGTGATCACTGCAAACTGTAGCAACGAGACTAAGGGTCGCGCTGGAGCATTTCACAATACGTGGAGAATGTCGAGGCTTCGGCAATAAATTAGGATGTTCACTATATCTCTATGTTTGGCCACATAAGCAAATGCTGGGCCTTGCTTATGGGCTCCTGCCGGGCCCAGCCCAATACTGGTTCAAATTCGCGGTGGGCAATGCGGAAACGTAATGAAGGATTCAAGGCTTGTTTGTTCGGTCGGTTTCTACAGGAGACACTGTCTCACGCATCAAAACGCTGTGAACAGGTCCAAACAAATAACGAGGACCTGTATGCGTTTACTCAGAAGGAACTTTTTGTGTAAGAGCAGGTTGGATTATTGTCTTAGTTCAAAACAATTCTAAAGACACAAAGGATTGCGTTTACGTAACCTTGCGGTTACGTGACCTCGTGAATCGCTTTACTGTAGCGTTACCACTTTGACAGCCAGCGTACGCAGTAGGTCAAGCTTTGGTATTCGCTGTAGTGAGCAGAGTCATTTCAAAGCTAAGGACCTCCGCGCTAACAGCTTCGGCGTGCCACTGAACAAAAGATTCGTGTTGGGTGCGGGGCTTCTAATGATGCTTACCATAGAGTTGAGAGGCCCTGAGATGGCCGGTGTCAAAAATATGCAACGGGTGGACCCTTGTTTGAACGAGATCATCGTTTGACCTGATCGGAAAGCAGATGTTACAGATATTACGTATCCGCGAGCAAGCTTTTGTATCAAACCAAAGATAACAGCGATTCACACGAGCGTAGGGCAGGGGTTATAACCAAGTCTTGCAACTTCTGAAAGATGGATGGGCATGCAGGTGTACAATAGCGAATACTAAAGCGCCTCCACATCGGTCCTGACGTATATGCTCTAGGTAGGAAGGTAATGACTAGCTGTAAAGTTCAAAGCCTAGGGGCCAAACGGGTCTATTCGAAGGCCTGCCTCTATTTGAGGGACCTTCCAATTAAAAAACCGATCGGTTGCAGAGAATACCGAGGTTTGTCCGCTCACGTCCTAATGGGGATAATCTAAATAGAGAAAAATGATTTGATCTGAGCAAACGGGCTCTGTTATATTCCAGGGCGACATAAAAGTGGTGCCGATAGTTGGACAAGAGTACAGCGGTCTTTACAGCGAACGTTGGCCAGTCGTGTACTTGGAGGTTTGGCATTTTTAAAGAACTACTAGCCGAAAGCGGACCGTCCTAGACATTATAGTGAGACACGCACATGAGTTGCTCGGTACACGGCATGTACCGATAATAATATATATCAGGTCCTAAATATATTCGTGTTTATTGTTATAGAAGGACGGGATATAAATCGAACTTTTTCCGGTAGTGCAACTTCATTGCAATATCTCGTTCAACATGAAACATGGTACGGTGTACTTTGACATTTTAAATTTTTTCACAGGCTTAATTTTTATTGTTAATTAAAGTACGGCTTACTACTAACCTTGTGCCATTTCGGTATCAGTTTTTTCAACCTGCTACAAGAGAAATCTGGGGTATGAAGGTGTTCATGTCCAGGTCTAACGAATTTTCTAATAAAAAGTTGTCAAGAATAACTGTAACTTGTGCACTTTTTGCTACCGTCCTTTTCGTGACATTGTCATATAGTAGGAGTTTCGGCTGTTCAATGCGGATTCATCCATATTCTGAAATTGTTAATAGTGCCTTTTAGCCGTAATTGGTTCACCAAAACTAATGCAACTGTAATGTATCACGGCTGCATTTAGCTGCGAAACAGACGCTGTAAGCCTCTGCATTTACCGTAGGGTGATGCCCGGGCGATTCAAATGCATCCGCTTACTGCTGTGACCTTCTGCGATTATCGTACAGAATCCACTCTTCATCACAGGTCACAATTCAAAGAGAGCAAAGGCAAGAAGACAATTTATGTTTCTGCTTTTCATTAGCTTTTAAATCATACGGCACCTACTTTTTTTCGGATTACCAGATTCCTGGACAAGTATGGTATTTTTACATACGCCAAACCTGATCCCTTATACCCGTAGCTAGGACAATTTGGCCTACACCACAGTTTTTAACGTTTCTTTATCCATCTGCGCAGGGGTTTTCCATAAGACTGATTTTCAACTTCGAAATTCTCTCCCCTGAATTTCTTTGAAGTGACAGCTCACGATGTCTTTGCTGGCAAACCCTTTATTGAGTAAAAGGTTTGTACGACTAGCCACCTCCGTTGCTGTAGTTCCCATATGGAATTTAAACTCTTAAATTTCTCAAATTGTCTCATTTTCAATAGCTTATCTACTAAAAACCTGAGGGGCATTCATTCGAGTTGGCAGTGTTAAATTTTAAAAAGCACAAATATCATTATAAAAACAATGTCGTCTCGTTATAAGATAGCGGCATCTAAGAATATGAAATTAAAGTAAGTCACGTCTTGCACCGAACATCTCATATATATATATATATATATATATGGATTCGTTAACAAAGATCAGCAAGAGAGGGCAAGCCATGAGTGTCCATTATATTAGATTATGAAGAAAGTTGCCATTTTTTTTCGCTTTCGTTTCTCGTTTCCATTTTCCAAACGATAGAATATACCATTAGGAGGCCATCATCACACATAGAATTAGACCAGTGATAACACCGAGAGTTACCGTTGCCTTTCTCAAGTTTAATTATATTTCTGCTAAACGGAATCAATCCGCGTAATAAATCGGTGAACGGTTGTATCCATGTGTTCACCGTTTATTTTCATTGGACCCCTGGTTAATGTCAGCTTGGGATTTACAGGTTTCTACCAGCGCGACGGAAATCGTCCGAGGTGGTCTTGTACGTATTTGCGTAGTTGTTTCCCGATTCATACGAAACTATCTTCGAGGGAGATGATGCGACGGAAGCATTATAGGGAGCCGTCTTCTGCATGGTGGGATACGAAGTCCCTTTTTCTGCGGTTGAAGCGCCGTAAGAAGTCGTCTGCTCTCCGCCCGCAGCTCCGTACGAAGTCGTCTGTTCTAAAGCCGGAACGCTATATGAGAGGATGTTCTGAACCGTTGGAGCCCGGTATGAAATGGTCTTCTCTACGGCAGGAGCATTATACGAGACGGTCTTCTGAACAGCAGGTGCTGTAGCGACTGCTGTTGAAGCTTCGGGGGAAGCGTAGAAGAAAGCGTTTTGGACGGCGGAAGTACTATAAGGGATAGTGTTCTGAACGGCGGAAACGGGCGCAGTGTAAGAAAGCCATGGAGCAGCATGCAAAGTCGTTTTGTGGACGGCTGGCGTTGCAACTACCATGCTTCCTGGAGTAGCATAAGACATGGTCTTCTGGACGGCAGGGGCAGCGGGCGCCACGACGGTGGTCGGAACAGCAGTTGGGGCAGCGTACGAAATAGACCCGGGGCCAATGGGAGCACTGTAAGCGGCCCCAGTGTACTTTACATGAGGACGATTTGGTGTGTCGGAGAGAGTAATTTCGGCGGCAGTGTCCTGGCCTTCACTGTAGAACTCGACGCGAGCGGGTGAAGCAGCTCCTCGGGTAATGTGAATCACGCGATCAGCAGGGTTGGCTGGCTTCTCGATGTTATATATCTAACAGACGAGAGCGAATTAGATCATTTGAAAAACATTAGTTTCGAAATTCTGAGTGCTTCTTACTATGTTTGATCTAAGGTGTCGTGAATGTTTGCTGCACCTTGAAACGTCGTAAGATCTGTTTTGGCTGTTTAGATCCGAATAGAAGGCTGTTGTTTGTTGTTAGATAATTTGAATGGCCTGGTACTGTGTTCTCCCCAAAAACAAACTACTATAACGCTATGAGAATGAGACCATGGGTTATTGGAATTGAAGAGCTTCATACATCTGATCTACTGACGTATGGCATATAACAAAGCAACCATTTCAGCATAATCCTCCGAGCACAGCATCTTTAGGCACGAATACGTCATAATTAACCATATTTGAACTATAAATTAAACAAACATACCTGAAGACCGCCCTTCTTAGCTACAACATGCTCTACCCTAGGTGGGGGCGCAGGCCGGTTGATGACACGAACCGTGGCCTGTTCCTCAGAAGGAACATTGAATTTCACAACCTCAGGTTGAAGTTGAGCGCCCTCCTGAATTCGGATGAGCTGCTCGGGGCGCTGATATTCCTCAACACGAACATCACGTTGGCGATTACCAAGGACAACTTGGTGGAAGGAAAGCTTCGCAGGTGTCTGCGGCACAACCCTCTGTACAGGGGTCAGGCCATATGAGAAGGTCTTGTGAACGGCAGCGGCTGGTGCAGCAACGCTAGCGGCTGCTGTAGGTACCGCGGATACAACAGTTGTAGATACCGGTGCTGACGATGCGTATGAGATGGTCTTTGAGATCGAGGCAGGCGCGGCATAGATAGTCGAGAGGGTCTTCTGGACAGTTGGGGCAGAGACTACGGTACTGGTGGGCGCTCCATACGAGATTGTCTTCGAGAAGCCGGTCACCGCAGGCACAGCTGCCGTGTACGTTTGGCCAACGACAGCGGTTTGAACTGGCAGATCAGTGTACGTAGGCACTAGTCCGGCCGAAGTCACGGCAACCGTTCCGAAAAACGCCGCGAAAAGTCGGAAAAACAGCATAGTTGAGACTGCCTGTTACAAGTAGCACCACAAGTACTACAATAATCCGACGGCAACGCGATGGCCGGGCTCTCACTGTGCCACTCAAAGGCATGCAGCTTTTATAACTCGCGGGTGAAAGGGTACCGCAGTGGAAATCCCCCCGACACTTTCTTCTTTGGAAGGTACCGAGGAGTCCGTAAACAGAACTCAAACAGTAAAGTGGAGTGGCCTTCACCCGAAGCGCGATCGCATATCGTGCATCGAACTTCAAAATAGAAAAGGCTTCTTAAATTGTCAACGGTCTCTGTCAGTTCGTGTTATGATACTGTGGAGTGTGATCCGTTTGTGAACCGAAAAACCTGTTCAATCCGGTAATATCAGGTATTACATTTCCATTATTTATTTCAAATGGAATTTCTCAATTGAATTCATCAGCTTTAATATGTGTATATATATATATACACTAAAAAGTTTACGATATTACGGCTGTCCCATTATAGCGTCTTTACATATATTAGTGCTTGGCACATGCCGACCAGTCACAACATTAACTTACGGCTATTATATTAATTACTTAAACGTATTTAGCCACTGCAAACTGGTAAGTATCCGTCGCGTTATGAACCTCCCATAAAAAGGAGTCACTTATAATCGGCAACGTGTATATTTAAGTTGTACATTTTCTGTCTGTTTCCTCTCGAATGCTTTGTTTTGTTCTCCCTGCGCGGAGAACGTTTAGTCACGTCTGCGTAAATGGTTTTATTGAGCCAGAGATCAAATAAATCGCTAATGATGGTCTGTGATTAGCGACCGTTTACTCCGCATACTTGGGTTTTTAATTCTAACAGAAGCAGAAAGATTCAATTGCATCGGACTGCGCCGTCACGCGTTAACGACGACTAATATCTATCAATATATGTATGGTATACAAAGAAAGAGAATCGAGTAATAATGGTGATAAGCTGCTGTTCTGCAGGAGAAATTGTCCCGCGTATTCGGATCACGTCAGAGTGCCGACTGCGAATTGAATCGGGTTCACCGTTCGTTTTGGTCTTTCTCTTCGTTTTGAGCCGCTGTTCGTCGCGCTCTTTTCCTAACCGACAGCAGAATAGTCGCGCTGAGATAGAATGAGCTGAGTTGTCCAAGTCGCCCCGGGGGCAAGCAGGTCGAAACGCCAAATAGCGCTTAGATGGAATAGAAACAGAAACAAAACAGAAAAGATTATCATATTTTCTATTGAGAATCGTTGCGAACATGCATCAGCGTGTCAGAAAAATTATGCTGAAGAAATAAGAAATATGCCCGCTCTCGAAGATGCAGATTGTGGCTGATGGTCCTGGTTTCTCCAGCAGCATCTGGCTCTGTTGTGCCCATTTTTGTAGTGACAAATAGGTGCTATATATTCAAGCGCCAACAGAAAACAATAGAAAATCTTCTACGATCGAAAAAGTATAGAAAACGTTTTCAACGCATAGGCACGTCTGACTGTAGGAAAAGTGTTCATCCGTAGGTTGTATGAACGCTGTTCCAATACTACGAACTGGCTTCAACTTCCTCTCAGACAATATGGGGAACACCACTGCTGGATTATATGCTAACAAAAGAGCCTAACGTTCATTGATTTTTCACGAAATTGATATTTGTATGAATTTTCGTGGCTATCACCGTGAATGAAGTAAAATCGAATATATATATTTTGTATATATATAATTGTTTTAATTGATCCCATTAAATCAGTAATTATATTATTAATAAAAACGTTAATTAGGACATCATGAATGTTACCCACGTACCGATTAAGTCAAAACAAATATTTGACGGCGCACAGACGAGAAATAAGAAAAAAAAAACCTAGAAAATTAATCGATACCGCTTTTTTAGTATCTTATTTAATGCTCTCTTTTTAATCACTTTATTACTTAATAACATTTTAGCACTAATAAACTAAAGCCAGCTGTTTTTGTAAACTTGTGTTTTCAATAACGAGGGACATTGAGGGTGGTGCTCTGAGCTCCATCTTGTACACAGCTAGAGCGAGAACGGGTGATTCGAATTCACTCTTATTACTAGTCAGTGTTTCACTAAGTAGCATCGTTCGAAACATTTAGTTTCAAGTCAAAATACTAGTAGATATCTGGTAGGTATCCCATCTTTTCAGGGACAGCCTTCTGGAGCAACGGACAATACAATATTTACGTCCAATAGCTCATCAACTCACAAATCGGATTACTTTGATTCCAGCTGGTTTTCACTGAGACTTGCAGCCCATTCTACTTCAGTCTGGCGATTTTACAACGGAAATCTATAGAGACGTCTAAGTCAGCAACGCACCGCTTCTGAGAAACAATCGGGTATATTTGGCGAACACCCCCGATCGCGGAGTGAACGTGCCGTGACATATACGTATTTAATGTTGTGACCTATTAGACCAACAATCTACGGCACCAGTTTTGTTCTCAACGTCCACATCCATTAGTAGCCTTGACTAGTAAAGTTTCCCCAGTTTTTTTTTAAGGTAACAAAATGGCACAGAGATAAGTAGGTGTTTCGCGACTTGCTTGCGCTATCAGTCGTAGATGAGTCTCCTACTGAAGCAGACACGCTTTTGGAAAAAACATGTAATACAGAAAAAGTAATTTTTATTTGCTTTTGAAACGACTAGAGACAGAAGGGCTGCTAGAAACATCGAACAGAACTACTGTCCAATATAGATCCGGAGTTTTACGCTTAAAAAACACTTTCGAATGAACCTGGTCACTACCAAAAAATATACCTAACGTCATTGATACTTTTCGCTAAATGCCGTTTAAAAAAATTATTGAAATAAATTAAGGAGACTTCGAAAATATATGTTGTGCCATTTTTGCTGTGCAATAGTGCTCTTCGAGCGCAAGGGGGACGCAGGCCAGAGAATAGGCTTTATCAAGTCTATGTTCTTGCTTGTTTTATCAATGCATGCTGAATTAAAATCTTCATAATACTTTTGTAGTTGAAATTATTGAATTAATTTCATTCATCATATAACAGGCTAGACGAATACCCCTAATATTATCAACTGACTCAGAGATCCCGATATGGAGTAATCCTACGCAAATGTGTTATATCTTTGTGCTTCGATTTTTAGGTCCAGTATTGCCGTCAGGCATTTCATCAGACAGGACAAAACAAGGTGCGTCCATGCTCAGAACCACATCGTATCCCTAAAATTAGTAGGCAAATATTTTACACGTTAATCTGTCACGAGGAAATATGTGATATCTGTTTCTATCTAAGAGTCGGACACCCCAGGAAGAAGCAAAGGGCCGCGAAGTGGCATCTGCTAAATTCGAGCCTCTCGTCTTGTTCATTGGACTAATGGACACCACATCAGGTTAGAGCTGTAATCATTTATAATAGGTAGTATTATACATGGAAGAATAGATGTGTGCGACAGAGGTTCAGCTGCATGAAGACGTGCTGTAAGAAACTTCAGCTACAATGTTATCAACTTCAGTTAAACGCAGCCAATCCTAACCTGTATTTTGGCACCTTTAGGTAGATCGGTGAAATATTTTTGAGTTCGGTCTCTCAGATATACCCGGAAAACATAAGACACGTCAGAAATATTTAGCGAAGTTAACAGTACAACTCGGCTAGTTAAAAGTTTCGGGAAGAATTGAAGCGTAAAAATAGCGGTCGTTTCCTCTGCGTACAGAGCGGAAAAAGTACCTGTGGAGGCGTAATAGATCTATATAATGATTGCGGAGAAATATTCTTCTCTCAGACAACCTTAGAGGACATTTTGATGTTTTTTTTTGGTTTTGAGCAAGCGAAACCAAGCATCGGGTAGGGTTCGACTAGTAATACAAATTGAGGAATGGGTTGAGACTAGTAATTTAAAAGGTAGAACTTGTACGTTGAGAATCTAAAAAAGAAATGTTAGAAATGCATGCAGTCCTCGAGCTCAGCTTTTTTTAAAATAGATTTACATGTAAGACTATCAAAAGCGTAAGAAGACAAACCTGCAAGGAGTCATTTCTACAATTAACGAGGCAACAGACAAACGATGGAAACGTAAAAGACGAGAACATAATATAAAATTCGGTTGAGGTATAAAACTATTTTCGAACTTCTTCGCTGCTTCAGGTCTGTTTGACAGTAATTCACAGAAGGGCATGCTGAATTGGATGAAATTGGTGCGAAAAGCGGACGTCGCGTATTTAGCAACGCGTGCGACGATAGCAATACGTAACAATGTTCGAGGTGATTATAGAATTGACATAAGCGGGGTTCTAGGTTTCACTGAAAATAATCAATGAGTTAATGAAATGAGAGGTGGTTGGTAAAAGGATAAAATAATGAAAATCGATGAAGTTCTCAAGCGGCTCTGGTGTAAACTTGATTGACGGTATGCTCTAGTGGCCATACACATAATCCTTTGCATTGTCATATATATATTGTTCTTCTTCCTATTAAGTTATGGCAGTGGTCAGGAGACAACTTACCACTTCTGGAGACCGAGTTATATGTTACACGTAAGCAGGAACTGAAAACCTTTGAATGTGCCATTGTAATGAAATAATTTGAAATAACCGATGTTAAGGTATTCGTTTCCGGCGCAGCTTAAATAGAACAAGTGAAAAGTTTAGACATCACATTATGGGTTATTGTAGTATACGTAATTTTTTATCAAATAAACGTTAAATATGCTCAACGAGCCGATGCGGCAATTTGATAAGCTCTTCCGTTATAAAAGCTGACCGTGGCAATCGTCGGAGTAATATTTTCGATTTAAACCCGGCGCAGCGTACTGCTACTCAATAGTCCAATGGTAGTACCGCCCTGAACTACCGGCTGAAACCGCCGAAGGACACTGTGGACTCGCATTAATCTGTGACAATCGAATGATTATACTGCACACATACAGCTATTATGTTTCAATATTTTGTGATTTGTAAACGTAGACATAGAAACCACTTGGCGGGAAGAGTACGATATGCAAAAAGACGAGAACCGTATCGCAATTAAGAAGCTGTCAATAGTTGTACGCAGCGTGAGCGTATTGGCAAACACCCTATTCTGATTAGGTGAAGTTGCCCCTGATGCAGCATACTG